TCCTCCCTGGACCGAACTATCGCCTCCCTACCTCCCCACCTACACTCCCCTTTACTGGCTCCATTCCCATCTCTTTGACCTGTCTGTCTCTTCTATCCATCTTCTATCCGCCTACCCCTCTCTCCCTATTTATTTCAGAACCCCCTTCCCCTCCCCCATTACTGAAGAAGGGTCTAGGCCCGAAACGTCAGCCTTCCTGCTCTTCTGATGCTGCTTGGCCTGCTGTGTTCATCCAGCTCTACACCTTGTTATCTCCAATTGGGATATGCTCCTTTTTGATTGGATGCTATCATTCCTCTCATGCACAGCATCAGATGACACAATACTGTCAGTACTGAGGCAGTGCCACACGTTCAGAGGGTCAGGACTGAGGGAACGCTGCACTGTCGGAGGTGCTGTCTGTTTGCTGTGACGTTAAACTAAGAGCCTCTCAGATGATCTAAGACTTCTCATGACTGGATGTGAAGAACAGCAAAGGAATTCCGTATGCTCTCCACTAATATTTATCCTTTCATTGGAATAAAACAATCTGTTCCCTAGTGATGTTTGTTGTAGCTTGCTATAAATAAATTGCTGTTGCTATTACTACATTATAATAGTGCTAACAGTTCAAAGGCTCTTTAGTGGCTGTGTGATATCCTGAAGATGAGAAAGGAGCTACATAAATGCAGTTCCTTCTTTCACATTGCGGGCGATTTGGCAAGAATTTGCATTCGCAAGGAGACCACTGTCCCTCACTCAGCCAGTGATAGGGTTGGTGGGAATGGTCATGTTATTGAAGTACTGTCCAGTAGCATCGACTAATCATTGAGAGACAGCAGTTCAAATCCTACCCCAACCTTTTGGAAATTTGAAATTGAATTGAATTGCTCTGAAATGAAAAAGCCAGTCTCGATAATGGTGAACATGAATTTATCAGACTGTTGTAGAAACCCATCTGGTTCACCTTTAGGGAGGGAATTTCACCATCTTTGCCCAGTCTGGCCTACATATGACTCCAGATGCACAGCAATGAAGTCAATTCCTAATTGACCTCTGGGCAATTGCAAATGGGCCATGAATGTTGGCCTAGCCATTGACACCCACATCCTGTGAATTATGGATTTAATAAAAAATGTGATTCCATATCCATGGAACTCAAAATGGCTTAGCAAGTGACTCGGTTGCACCAATTACGGGGCCTCGAGATGGTCAGTAAATACTAACCTTTCCAGCAACTTTCACATCCCAAGAATAAATGGAAACGAAAACATTGCATGAGACTTACTGCAGAGATAGTTGGAAAGGATCTGAAAAAGTAAGAAAATAGCATTGATCCATTGCTACCTGCTGATGGAACGCTCAGGGAAAGAGAATTCTCCATAATAGATTCTGTCGATATAATTGAGTGGCACTCGTTGACAGTACTGGTATGCAAGGACCATGAAATCATACTTGCAGATGAGCAGAGTCTTCTCACAGATTAAAACAATCCGTTCCTTCTCATTGTTCCAGTGATCAATCCTGCAATGGGACAGAAAAGACAGTGTCAGCACTCCCTCAGAATACAGCAGCCTACATTGTCCAATTTACCAGGCTTACAAAAGCAGGTTCTTCCTGATATTGGAAATCTGAGAAACAAGCCAATACAGTAGAAGCGACCAGTGTCTGTGGAGAGAGAAACAAAGTTGGCACTTCAAACCTAAGATCTTCATCAGCACTGGAAAAAAAATCATTGATATAACAGGGTCTAAGCAAGTACAGAAGCAGGGAAATGAGTAGAGTACGAGAAAAAATGATATTTATAAAGCACCCCTAATATACTACTCTTTCAAGGTACTGCACAGGAGCATTATGAATCAGAATTGGATGCTGAGATACAGAAGGTAATATTCGTGCAGGTGAGTAAAACAGATAGTCTTAAGGAACTGCTGAAAGGCAGCGAGAGAGAAAGCAAGAAAGGGAACTTCAGAGTTTAGGGCTCAGGCGGCTGAAGACACAGCTGCTGATATTGGAACAATTAAAATTGAGAATTCTCGAGAGGCCAGAATTCAAGCAGCTCTGAGATGTCGTGAGTGTGGAGCTGGTGTTTACAGGGATTGGGAGGGGTGAGGCTATGAACGGATCTGTAAACAAGGACAAGAATCTGAAAAAAACAAGGCAGGAAAAAAGGGACGGTCTGTGATTGGATAGTAATAGAGGCAGAGAGTTGTTATAACACAGAAGGACACCATTCAGCCCATTACCTCCCTGCAGGCATTCTGTGCAGCAATACTGTTAGTCACAGTTCTCTACTCTATCCCTATATTTCCCTTGAGTACCTACTCAACTTCCTTTAGAAATCATTGATTGTCTTTGTTTCCATTCCCCATGCAGGCAACAAGTTCCAGCTCATTACTGCATGCAGTAGAAAAACATTCTGTCTCACATTCCCCTGTATGTCTGGCTCAAAGCCCCACATCAAGTTAGCAAGCTGTAACTAGGGGAGTTCCACAGGAATCAGTGCTGGGGCCGCAACTAATTCCAAATCATATCCATCATTTAGACGTAGGGACTGAATGTATGGGAGCTATATTTGCTGTCAGCTTGAGGGTACTTCGGAAGTTAAGTTGTCAAAAAGAGATTGAGAGGCTGTAAAGGTATACAGATTAAGTGAGTGGGTGAACACTTCTCGGATGAAGTATAACGTGAGAAAATGTGAGGTTGTTCAATCTGGCAGTGACAATAGAAAAGCAACATTGTTAAATGGAAAGAGATTGCAGAACTCTGAGGGACATGAATCACAAAATGTTAATATGTAGGTGCAGCAAGTGAGTAGGAAGGCGAACAGGATGTTCTTGCTTATTATAAGTGGAATGGAATAAGAAAGTAAGAGACATTTTACTGAAGCTATAGAGGGCATTTGTAAGATGATATCTGGCACACTGCGGTCAGTTTAGACTCCTTATTTCAAAGAAGGCATAATTGCATTAGAATCAGTTCAGAAAAGGTTCACAACGTCTCATTCCTGGGATGAAAGATTATCTTACGGGGCAAGGTTGAACAAGTTGGACCCTGTATGCTTTGGAATTTAGAAAAATGAGAGATGATCTTATTGAGACACACAAGATCCTGAGGGGGTGGGATAGGATGGAGACTTGGAGGATGTTTCCTCATGTGGGATAGACTAAAACTAAGGGACACAATTCATGAATAAGCCTTATAATGGCTGTGAGAAGATTTTTTTTTGCCAATGAGGGCAGCTAGTTTGTGGAATTCTCTTCTCTAGAAGATAGTGAAAATTGGGTCATTTAATTTACTCAAGGTTGAGTTCGGTCATTTTCAACAGACAATGGAGTCAAGGGTTATGGGCGAAGGTTGGGTAAATATGTTGGGTTGAGGCCACAACCAGACCAGCCATGGTTTGATTGAATGATGGGCCAAATGGCTTCTTCTTGCTCCAGTGTTCCTGCCTGTGTCCCAGTCCTTCAACCATGAGTGAATCAGAACAGCTTTTCTTCCATTACTTTATCTCAAGTTATCATCATCTCTTGATCAAATCTCTCCTTAATCTTCTTTGCTCCATGGAAAATAATCCCAGCTCCTCGAATCTAACCCTGTCGCTAAAAACCCTCATCCTGGATCCATTCTGGTGTATCTCCCCTAGCAGCCTCATCACAGCAGATATGGAGATGGAGAAACTTGGAGAATAGAATGGAATTCTTTTAGGAAGAAGGATATGAGGAAGTGCAGTCAAGATAACTGGGAGTCAGTGGGTTTGTAGTGAATATTGGTGGACTGCCTATCCCCAGAAATGGGAAAGAGAAATCATAAATAAGAATTAATTTTCAGTCTGACACACCAGATCAGAGTCAATGATTAATTAACTGAAGATTGTAAACCAAACACAATCCAAATTCTTACTAAGGAACATCATTTTATTTGAACATTTTTATTTCCAAGGAACTCATTCCAATTTAAGGATAAAAGTTTCCAATCTTGCAGAAACAGAGAAAGTCAGGCAAAAAAAATCAACTTGCAAACAACTTTACTTTCACTTGTCATACCAATTTTAGTTGTACTTCCCCTAATTCTTTTTAAAATCACTAACCTCACTGTTCCACACACACAATGACTCTCACTGTGGTACAGATTCCATAAGCACAGAATCCGACTGAGATACAAGTTCCACACATTCTAACACTAACTGATGTATGGGTTTCACACACACTGACTCCCATTGGGTAACAGGTTCCACACCAACTGACTCTCACTGGAGTACATGTTTCAAAGAGATTGACTCACTGGGGTATCAGTTCTATACACATACTGTCACTGAGTTACAGTTTCACAAACACCGACTCTCAGTGTACAGATTTCAGGCTGAATCTCGCTGGGGTTTCGGAAGTTCATTGAGATATAGGTTCCATACACACTGTCTTCTATTAGTGTACAAGGTCCACAGACACAGATATCAGTGGGATGCAGGCTTCATAGACACTAACTCTCACTGGGAACAGATTTCACACACTGACCCTGACTGAGATACAGGTTCCACAGATACTGACTCTCATTGGGGTACAGTTTCCACATGGACTGACTCTTAGTCAGATCCAGGTTCCACACACACCGACACTCACTGGGACAAGGTTCCATATACACTGTTGCTCACTAGGGTACACGGATTCTCTTTGGGATATGGATTCTGCACATGGACTGTCACTGGCTTAGAAACATAAACAGAAAATAGGTACAGGAATAGATCATTCAATATGATCATGGCTGATCATCCTAATAATTCCCTATTTCTGCTTTTGAGCCATATCTTTTGCTTTCTTTAGCCCTAAGAACTATGTCTATCTCATTCTTCAAAACATGTTTGGGTCTCAATCACTATCTATGGTGGAGAATTCTACCGGCTCATCACTCTCTGGGTGAAGAAATTTATCCTCGTCTCAATCCTAAGTGGTCTATCCTGTTTCCTTACAGTGTGACACCTGGTTCTGGATGCCTCAGTCATTGAGAACATCCTTCTATGTTTACCTTATCTAATCCTGTTAAGAGTCTTATAGTTTTCTATGATATCGCCTCTTCATTCTTCTAAACTACAGTGAAACTCTTCATATGTCAGTCAAAGCATCCCAAGAATCAGTCTGGTAAACCTTCATTGCCCTTCCTCCATAGCTAGAATATCCTTTTTCAGATAAGGAGATCAAAACGGCACACAGTCCTCTACATGTGGTCTCACCAAGGCCCTATACAATTGCAGCAAAACATCTCTGCTCCTGCACTCAAATCTTCTCACCATAACGGCCAACATGTTATTTGTATTCTTCACTGCTTGCTGTACCTGCATGCTTACTTTCAGAGATAGTAGGAACTGCAGATGCTGGAGAATCTGAGACAACAAGGTGTAGAGCTGGATGAACATAGCAGGCCAAGCAGCATCAGAGGAGCAGGAAGGCTGACGTTTCGGGCCTAGACCCTTCTTCAGACTTCCTGCTCCTCTGATGCTGCTTGGCCTGCTGTGTTCATCCAGCTCTACACCTTGTTATCTCTGCTTACTTTCAGTGACTGGTTTTGTTGCACAAGAACATAGAAATTAGGGCACTAGTAAGTCATCAGGCCCCTTTAGCCCGCTCCACCATTCAATAAGATCATGGCTGTTCTTTTGAGGACTCAGCTCCACTTACCCACCCGCTCATCATAACCATTAATTCATTTCCTGTTGAAAAACCTATCTATCCTTGCCTTAAAAACATTCACTGATGTAGCCTCAACTGCTTCGTTGGTCACTGAATTCCATAGATTCTCAACCCTTTGGGTGAAGAAGTTCCTCCTCAACTCAGTCCTAAATAAGCTCCCCCTTATTTTGAGGCTATGCCCCCTAGTTCTAGCTTCACCTGTCAGTAGAAACAACCTCCCTGCTTCTATCTAATCTATTCCCTTCATAATTTTATATGTTTCTATGATATCCCCCCTCATTCTTCTAAATTCCAATGAGTACAGTCCCAGTCTACTCAATGTCTCCTCATAAGCCAACCTTCTCAATTCTGGAATCAACCTAGTGAATGTCCTCTGCACCCCCTCCAGTGCCAGTACATCGTTTCTCAAGTAAGGACACCAAAACTGTATACAGTACTCCAGGTGTGGTCTCACCACTACCCTATACAGCTGCAGCATAACCTCCCTCCTTTTAAACTCTATCCCTTTAGCAATGAAGGATAATATTCCATTTGCCTTCTTGATTATCTGCTGCACGTACAAACCAACTTTTTGTGATTCATGCACAAGAACACTTAGGTCTCTCTACACAGCTGTTACTTCTACCAAAATGAATGTCCTCACATTTACAAAAACTGTACTCCATCTGCCAGACCCTTGCCCTCTCACTTAACCTATCTATATCCCTCTGCAGACTTTCAGTCTCCTCTGCACACTTCTCTCCAAATCATCTTGGTGTCATCCCCGAACTTTGACACACTACACTTGGTCCTCAACTCAAATCATCTATGTAAATTGTAAACAATTGTGCTCCCGACACGGAGTCCTGAGGCACACCACTAGCCACTGATCGCCAACCCATTTATCCCCACTCTTTGCTTTCTGCTAGTTAACCAATCTACTATCTATGCTAATACATTAACCGCAACAGCCATGCACCCTTATCTTATGCAGCAACCTTTTCTGAGGCACCTTTTTGAATGCCTTCTATGATTGTCGAATGCCTTCTGGAATCCAGATACACCACATCCACCAGTTCTCCAGTGTCCAACATGCTCATAATATCTTCAAAGAATTCTGGAAAATTAGTTAAACATGACCTGCCTTTCATGAACCCATGCTTATCTGCCCAATGGGACAATTTCTATTCGGATGTCTTGCTATTTTTTCCTTGATGGTAGATTCAAGCATTTTTCCCACTACAGAAGCTAAGCTAATGAGCCTATAGTTACCTGCATTTTGTCTACTTCCTTTTCAAACATTGGCATCATATTTGCTGTTTTCCAATCTGCCAGAACCGTCCCAGAGTCCAGTGAATTTTGGTAAATAACCATGAGTGCACTTGCTTTTTCTCCCATCATTTCTTTTAGTACTCTGGGATGCATTCCATCAGGGTTAGGAGACTCATCTAATTTTAGCCCCATTAGCTTGCCCAACACTACCTCTTTAGTGACAAGCTGCACCTTGTCCTTTTCCTCTCTCCATTCCCAATCTATCACCATTGAGATAGCTTCTTGTTTTTGAGACCAAAATGGATAATCTCACATTTGGCCACATTATACTTCACCTGCCATGCATTTGCCCACTCAACTTGGAGATATTATATTTTGGTCCCTCATCCAAATCATTAATATATATTGTGAGTGGACGGGGTCCAAAATCGGATCTTTGCGGTACCCCAGCGGTCACTGGCTACCACTCCGAAAATAACCAGTTGGTTCTCAATCTTTGCTTCTTGTCTAAGGGGTATATTAGAGGTTCCATACACAGTGACTCACTGGGGTAAAGTTTCACACATAGTGAGTCTCGCTGAGGTAGGGATTTAACACTCAATGACTCCCTCTGGGGTACAACTTCCAAATACTTTGAACTTCATTTTAATATGGGTTTCACACATACTGACTATCAGTTGAATAGTTGTCCCATTTAGACACACTGACTCAGACTGGGATGTGGGTTCCACACATACTAACTCACTGAATTATGGATTCCACACACTCTCAGTGGGGTACTGGTCCCAGGGACACTGACTCCCTCTGGGGTATAGGTTACACGCATTCTGATTCTTACTAGAGTTGGGTCCTACACTCACTAAATCTCACTGGGGTACAAATTCAACACATATTGACTCACTGGGGTACAAGTTCCACAGCTATTAACCCTCACTTAGATACGAATCCCATACATATTGACTCTCACTGAGCTACAGATCCCACACATGATGGTTCTCTTTGGGATACAGATCCTCAAAGCAACGGTACTTTTTGACTGTAGTAAGAACAATATGTAATTGTTGGAGGTCAATCATCTGAATCCCAGGACCTCACAGGAGGAGTTCCTCAGGGAAGTGTCATTGGCCAAACCAACTTCAGCTGCTTCATCAATGACTGTTCTTCCATTATAAGGTCAGAAGTGAAGATGTTTGCTGACAATTTCACAATGGTCAGCACTATTCATTCTTCCTCAGATACTGAAGCAGTCCATGTCCAAGTGCAGAAAGACCTGGATAAAATTCAAGAGTTACCTGACAAATGTCAAGTCTCATTCATATGACAGAAATGCCAGGCAAGGGCCATCTCCAACAACAAAGAATCTAACCATCACCCCTTGACATTCAATGGCATTTCCATCACTGAATTCCCCACTATCAACCTGATGGGGGCTTACCATTCACCAGAAACTGAACTAGACCAGCCATATAAACACTGACTACAACAGTGGGTCAGATGCTAGGAATACTGCAGCAAGTACCTCACATCCTGACTGCCTAAAGCATATCCACCATCTACATGGCACACATCAGGTTGTGAGAAGGAATACTTTCCACATGGCTTGATGGTGCAGGCCCAAAAACACTCAAGAAGCTTGACATCATCCAGGACAAAGCAGCCCACTGATTGGCACCACATCTACAAACGTTCACTCCCTCCACCACAGACACTCAGCAACAACAGTGTGTACCATCTACAAGATGCACTGCAGAAGAAATTCACCAAGGCCACTTAAACAGCACCTTCCAAACCCACAACCACTTCCATAGAAAAGGACAAGGGCAGCAGACACACAGGAACACTATCACGTAACATCCTGACTTGGAAATATACGAACATTCCTTCAGTGTCACTGAGTCAAAATCTTGTAACTCCCTCCCTACTAGCACTGTCAGTGTCCCTACTCCCCAAAGTTCTTTGGCTGTTCAAGAGAATAGCTCACCATCATCTTCGCTAGGGCAATTAGAGATAGGCAATAAATGCTGACCCAGCCAGTGACACACACATGTTACTTTTAATCTGGGCACCCTGTGAGTCAGGACAAAACAGTTGACATCCACCTGTCACACCATTAAAGTTGCATTGCTTTGTTGAGAATGACTTGCTAATTGTAATTGTCAAGATAAAGCATTTCCAAAGAGGGAGATTAAGCATTCACACTCACTCAGTGAGAAGCCAGGTACTTTGTAAAGTTCCATCTTCTTGTTGACTAATCTGTGCCTTGATATCTGCCAATGCTTGGTCAAATGTTCCAGGCTGTGGGGACATTAAAATAACATTGAGGTTAATAACCCATTCACTCAAGGAGCCACACATGGACAAGTATCTACCAGCTGAAATTTACTGTCCTTGTTCACATACATGGAGCATGACTGTCATTTGTACCACACAGACTTTCATGGAACTCATAAGTACAGCACCAGATTGCACAAATGTCCTTTATACTTTGGAACTTGGAGGAATAAGAGGTGATTAATATTGAAACACACAGAATTCTGTAAGGGCTTGAGAGGGTCAACACTAAGGTTGCCTCGCCCTGCCTGCATATTCTAGAACACAGAGCCATTACCTAGAAGGGGTGAGGGTGAGGGTGAGGGTGGGGCAGATCATTTAGGACTGAGCTGAAGAGAAATTTCTTCACTCAGAAGGTTCTGAATCTTTGGAATTATTTACCCTGCAGTATTGTGGATGCTTCAAGGTCTCTCGAGGAACCAAGGGATATGGAGTGAGGACAGGAAAGTAAAATTGAAGGCTTGCTTGGCCAAATGGTCTATACCTGATCGTAACTCTTTTATTCTGGGAGATAAAATGTGACTAGTTGCTCTTGTTCTTGGTTGTGGTTGGATGTACTATTGAGGAGTGGCACAGTGGCTAGCACTGCTGTCTCAAAGCACCAGGGTTTGAATGGGTGACTGTCTGTGTGGAATTTGCACATTCTCGCCATGTCTGCATGGGTTTCTGCGGGGGGCTCCCATTTCTTCCCAGAGTCCAAAGGTGTAAGGTTAGGTGGATTGGCTATGCTATATAGTCCTGTAGTGTCCCGGGATGTGCAGGCAACGTGGGCTATCTATGGGAAATGCAGGGTTACAGGGATAGGGTCTGGGGCTGCGGCTGGGGCGCGATGCTTTTCAGGGGGTCAGTGCAGACTCAATTGGCTGAATGGTCTCTGTCCGCACTATGATTGTGTCCAGTGAATGGCTTATCTGCTCCTGGTCTTTGACTAATAGCACAGGGAGTACCAGAAGTGAGGTCTGTGATTCTGGAATGCCTCCTGAGTCATTGTTTTGCAGTCAAAGGAAGTAGTGAACATGGAGATGGGATGGGCATTTAATAATGGAGTGGCAGCCAGCACGGCCTTCCAACTTCCATCAGCATTAAATTCTGGGCAGGTAGGCCCATATATCCTGTCTCGTGGACAATTGAGAACCACTTAAGGGCCTGAATCCAGAGCCTCTGAGATTAAGCCAGCTGCAGACAGGCCTGTCACCATGGGCCACTGCAGTTAGATATCCCCCTGAAGCCAGTTTGTTTCCTCAGGAGTCCATCAATCAATTGCAATCAAGGCCAGATCAAAGGACTGGACATTGGGTGGGTATAGCCACTTGGGTCCAGCGCCTCTGCCTTTGCTTCTGACATCCATGAAGCAGTTTCCTCGTGACCCCCAACAGCCCACATCACTTACATGTGTTACACAGAAACAGAAACTAGCAGTAAGAGTAGGCTATTCGGCACTTCATATTTGCTCCACCATTCAATAGGATCATGGACCATTGAATATAGGAGTTGGGACGTCATGTTGCGGTTGTATAGGACGTTGGTGAGGGACTTTTGGAGTATTGTATACACTTCTGTTTGCCCTATTACAGGAGGGATATTAACAAATTGGAGAGAATGCAAAAAAAATTTACAAGGATCGCCCCTGGACTGGACAGTTTGAGTTATTAGGAGAAGCTGGATAGCCTGGAACCTTTTTCACTGGAGCATTGGAGGTTGAGAGGTGATCTTATAGACGTCTATATAATCATGAGGGGCATAGATAAGGTGAATAGCAAAAGTCTTTTCCCTAAGATGACGGAGTTCAAAACTAGAGGGCATAATTTTAACGTAAGAGGAGAAAGATTTAAAAGGGACTTTTTCACACAAAGAGTGGTTCTAATGTGGAATGAACTACCAGAGGAAGTGGTAGATGTAGGTACAGTTACAACATTTACAGTTCAGAAGAAGGGTCCCGACCCGAAACGTCAGCTTTCCTGCTCCTCTGATGCTGCCTGGCCTGCTGTGTTCATCCAGCTCCACACGGTGTTCTCAGACTCCAGCATCGGCAGTTCTTACTATCTCTGACCTTTTGAGTGAAGACTTTTTTTCCTTATCTTAGTCCTAAATTGTTTCCCCACCCCTCCACACCTGTCCTGCCCTTATCCTGAAACTGTGTCCCTATATTACGCTCAAACAGGGAAAACATCCTCCCTGCACCTAGACTGTTCAGCCCATTAGAACTTTATACATTCAATTAGATCCCGTCTCATCTTTCTAAAATCTAGGGAACACAAGCCCAATCAAACAATTCTCTCCTCAAAGGACAGATTCCAGCATCAAGCTAGTGAACCTCTGTTGCACTCCCTCTATGGCAAGTATACCCTTTCTTAATTCAGGAGACAAAAACTGCACACAATACTCCAGTTGTGATCTACCAAGACCATGTAGGACAGTAGTAAGATATCCCCTACTTCTGAACTCCAATTCTCTTGCAATGAGGGCTGATGTCCTGGGTCACCTGCAATTCTGGAACTTTATGGCTGCACTTCTAGCAACAGCCACAGCTTCCTCCATGGCACTTCTGAGCACAGGAGTTTCAAGTCTCCGATTGGCTGAAGGCTCTCACTCAGTGGGATTTCTGTCCCTGAGCTCAGGTTCAAGGGGACAACCTTCTGGTGACCTCACCACTTCTTGATTGGCTTGACATTCTGTGGATCTTCCCTGGAAGAGGCACTGCAACTTTCTCCCCATCTCTCTACTCAACAAATGAGACCCCTAACATCTCAACAAGGTTCTGCCCAAACTACTGCTGAAGAAAGCACAAATGGGCCAACTGAAAGGACTGTGTTAATCTAGAGGGCCTAATACTCACAATAATTTCACTGCTCAGTGATTGTTGTGGGGGGGGGGGGGGGGGGGGGGGGGTGGAGAGTTTCAATAGTGAGCACTTTGTGGTATAGACTACAACACATTGCTGTCTCATGATTCCCACAGTGGTGGCAATCAGGCCAACAGAAGCCCTCAACTCCAATTCAGCACTGGATGACTACTTGGATAGAAATGGTATGCAAGGGTATGGGGTAAAAGCAAAAGATTGGTACAAGGTAATGATTCTCATTTGAAGAGCTGGTACAGGCACGACAGGCCAAATTGCCTACTTATGCACTGTAACAATTTTGTGTTTCTGTGATTCATTTGCAGCTAACTCAGCACAGACCCAACCATGTGAATATTACCTTCATCCCACCTTCTCATTCTTCAAAGGAGTGATGTTCACCAACAATATGTCCTGGTCTGCTCAAGTTGATGCGACAGTCAAAAAAAGCACAATAATGCCCCTACTTCCTCAGGAGGCTAAGGAAACTAAGGAAATCTGGCATGTCCGTAAAGACTATTACCAATTTTTATAGATGCACCATAGAAAACATTCTTTCAGGGTGCATCATGGCTTGGTATGGCAGCTGCTCTGCCCATGACTGTAAGAAACTATAGGGAGTTATGAACACAGCCCAGACCATCACACAAGCCAACCTTCCACCCACTGACTCCATCTATACTTCTTGCTGCCTCGGGTAGGCAGCCAACATCATCAAAGACCCCTCCCGGCCCGGTTAAAATCACTTCCAACCTCGTCTGTCAGGCAGAAGATACAAAAGCTTAAATACACAGTAGATTCAAGAACAGCTTCTTCCCAGCTGTTTAGACTTCTGAATGGACCCCTCAAATTTTAAATTTAAATGTTGATCTCACTCTTTGTGCACCTTCTCTGCAGCCGTAACATTGTATTCCTCACTCTGGTCTATTATCCTCATGCGATTTGTATGGTATGGTATGGTCTGCCTGTACGGCACACAAAACAAAATTTTTCACAGTACCTAGGTTCATGTGACAATAATAAATCAAGCCAAATCAAAAGATCCTGAGACAGCACCTTCCAAACTCATGACCACTTCCATTCAGAAAGACGTGGAAGATACATGGGAATACGACCTCCTGCAAGTTTCCCTCCAAGCCAATACCATTGACTTGGAAATACATCATCGTTTCTTCACTGCTGCGGGGTGAAACTCCTGGAACAGCCTCCCTAAGGGCATTGTAGATCTACCTATAGCACATGAACTGCAGCATTTCAAGAGGCAGCTCACCACCACCTTCTTAAGGGCAACAAGGTACAAGCAATGAATGCTGGCCAGCAATGACACCCATGTCCTACACGTGAATAAAAAATTTAAAAAAGTCCTTAATTCCCAATATCTCCATCTCCTTCAAACCACCTCTGTTTTTTTTAAATTTTCCAGTCTCTATCAATCACTAATTCAGTTGATGAAGTCCATAGTTTCACAGTCTTGTAAGATATTGCCCTCTAGTGCTATTTAATCATATACCCAAACACCTCAATTTCTCTAAACTTTCTGTTTCTGTTCCTCCTGTTTCATTATTATTTTCAGCATTGACATCAAATTGAGTTTTTGATATTTACATATCCTTGTGAATACTTGGGAGACAGTGCAGAAGAGGATAATTCCAGAGATGAGAGACTTGAATTTGAGGAAAGATTGGAAAGTGTGGAGCTATTTTCTTTAGAGAGAAAAAGGCTAAGATGAGATTTGATAGTATTTTTTTTAAATCATGAGGAATCTGGACTGCAACTGCGATTCTGCAAGTGTTCAGTTCCTTGACTCAAAAAATATAAATTGAAACATAAAGTCCGCACCGAGTTCCAATTGTACTTTTGCTCAGGATTCAATTTCAAATTAAATTTCAAAGTAGTACTGCTCGGGTAGTGGTTTAATGTGAGTTCTCCTTGCTTCAGGCAAGGGAAGAGATTGAGAAGGAGAGTCCTTCATGGTAACATCAGCATGTTCAGGAATTCGGCCCACATTGTTGGCAATCCAAACCAGGCATCCAGCAACCAGAAAACTGACCCCCTTGAAAATAGTATGCCCCTAAAGAAGTATTTCATAATACTCAACAAATCGATATTCCCTCAAGAAATAAAA